CATTTTCTCTATGTTTAATATATATATATATATATATATATATATTCTTATCGAATGAAAAATATTTTCCAAAGTTTTTTTAGATACATAAAATTAATTATAAAATACTTTTAAAAGTAATTCAAAACTATAAAATAATGCATTAAAAATATATTAAAAACGAAGAAAATTGGTGATGAGAACCTGATGCCCGTAAAAATACATTAAAAAAAAATGACCCAAACGAGAATTGGACGAAAATTTGGAATCATAAAACCTCTATAAATCAGCTTTATGAAGGTTTTGAAGAGCTCATGTGTTGTCGGTTTTTGTTTGTTTCTCTGAATTAGAGGTTTGGTGTTCTTTTATTAGTTTGTCAATCACTGCATGGGGGTTTGGTTTAATATCAAGAAGTTGACAATGTGATAGCCATCTTAGCAAGCTCTTCACATCTTGAGTATCAATTGCTTACGATATTGTCATATTAATGGCCCATGCATGTCTTTCTTCTTTCTTCTTCTTACACTTTTTAATTCTTGGTTTGTAGTTGTTGGGAAGGATTTGAAGCACAAACTTAAGCATGGAAGAGAAGGGTGGAATCAAGAAAGATATCACTCAAGTAATTCTCTCTTACGATGAGTTTGACGATGAACATGTCGTTGAGTTATGCTCACTTTGATTGCGTTCTTTTGTCGTCGTTGGCAGTTAATTGGTAATACTCCAATGGTATATCTAAATAAAGTGGCTGATGCTTGTTTTGCTCGTATTGCTGCTAAGTTGGAGACCATGGAGCCTTGTGCTAGCATTAAAGACAGGTTTAGAGTCCTTTTTAATAAAGTCGATCGTTTTTTTTTTTTTTTCATTTTATAATGATTAAATTCCAATGTTGGTTTTAGGAGGGAAATTGTTGAATCTTTATGAAAAACTTAAAAGAGGGTGAAAAAAGGGTTTTTTTTTTTTTTTTTTTTAGTGATTCAAAAGTTAAAAAGTTGTTCCAATTGTTATTTTAAGCTCTCTACATTGTAGATACTTCAAAATATTAGGGTTGTTATTTCAAATGGAATGTGATTTTGAAGCCATGGATTGTTAAGATATAAAGTGTGTTGGATATGGCCCAAGATCGAATCGAAATATACTGATGTGAGATCTCACAATCCCGCTCCTTTCTTTCGGGACCCAGCATCCTCGCTGACACACTGCCTAGTGTCCATCTTCCTTCGGGCTTAGCATCCTCGCTAGCTTCGTTCCCCTCTCCAATCGATGTGAGATCTTACAATCCACCCCACTTCGATGCACAGCATCTTCACTGGCACACAGCCTAATGTCCGCCTACTGCTAGCAGATATTGTCTTCTTTGAGTTTTTCCTTTTGGATTTTCCCTCAAATTTTTAAAACGTGTTTGATAGTGAGAGATTTCTACACACTTATAAATAATGTTTTGTTTCACTCTCCTATCAATGTGAAATCTCACCGTTAATAACTTCTTTGGTTAACTCAAGCTTATTAACTCATACATATTTTCGATATAGGATCGCACACAGTATGATTCAAGACGCAGAAGACAAAGGCCTGATTACACCAGGGAAGGTACTATAAAACACTTCATTTCTTTCTCAATCATTTGAATAAGCAAAAATCTTTGTGAAAACCAATTAATCCGCTTCCTAAGCCGTATATTCTTTTTCGTGCAAAAGACCGTCCTCGTCGAGGTGACAAGCGGCAACCTCGGCATTGCGTTAGCGAGCATCGCAGCTGTAAAAGGCTATAGACTTATTATAGTCATGCCAGCTTCATATAGTCTCGAAAGAAGAATTCTACTTCTAGCCTTCGGAGTTGAGCTGCATATCACTGATCCCGCCGTTGGCGTTGAAGGCGCTCTAAAAAAGGTTGAGGAGATAATGAAAGTCACTCCCAATAGCTATTTTATGAGGCAATTTGAGAATCTAGCCAACCCAAAGGTATGCCTCTTATATATGATCTTTTATTTTAGGTAAATATTTAGATATTTATCTTTCCACTACGACTTATACAAGCATCTTTCTATTTATTGTTATTGTCATATTCTTGTAATTTATTTGATTATAAATAGAGAATTTTTACGTGCGGTTGTTCTAGCAAATATTTTGAATGAGGTGAATCCGTTTATGGTATTTAGATTCATTATGAAACCACTGGGCCTGAGATATGGAAAGATTCCGGAGGAAAAGTGGATGCCATAGTCATGGGGATTGGAACTGGGGGAACCATAACTGGTGCTGGGAAGTTTCTTAAGGAACAGAATCCGGACATTAAGGTTGGTTTCGTTGTTCGGTGCTCTAAAACCCGACGCTTGTCGAGTTGTTTGATAACGTTTTCGTTTCTTATTTCTTGCTGTTCATATGATGTAGATTTATGGAGTGGAACCAGCTGAGAGTGCTGTGCTAAGTGGAGGACAACCAGGTGAGTTCCCACTGTTTGGGATACCTTCTAATTTGAACATTTTTTTTTGTTTTGTCATTGTATTAAGAAAAATGATTATTTTATTTGATTAGTTGAGTTGCATCCAAGCTGGCTCGAACACTTATAAATATTAAAAAAAAAAAATGCTATTTTTTGTTCATAAATGTGTGATCTCTCCTTGGTTGGAGAGGGGAACGAATATTATTTATAAAGTTGTTGAAACTTTTTTCTAGTAGACGCGTTTTAAAATCGTGAGATTAACGGTGATATGTAACCTACTAAAGCGGATAATATTTACTAATGGTGGGCTTGGGGCTGTTACAAATGGTATAATAAGAGTCGGGCACTTAGCAGTGTACGACGAGCAAGGACGTTGGTCCTCCAAGGGGGTGGATTGTAAAATCCCATATTGGTTGGAGAGAGGGAACAAAACATTTTTTATAAAGTCGAGAAACATTTCCTTAGTAGACACGTTTTAAAACTATGAACTTGACAACAATACATAACTGGCTAAAACGGATAATATTTACTAGCAGTGGGGTTAGACTCTTACAAATGTTATAAGAGTCAGGCACCAAGCATTGTGCCAGCGAGTATGTTGGGCCTCTAAAGGGGTGGATTGTAAGATCCTATATTGATTGGAGATGGGAAGGAAGCATTTTTTATAAGAGTGTGGAAACCTCTCCTCAATAGACCCATTTTAAAACCGTGAAACTGACGACGATACATAACGGATTAAAACGGACACAATACCTATTAGCGTTGGGCTTCCGCTGTTAAAATACTTTCAAGTTCAAGTTGACCCATGGTTTGTTTCTTAAAGTTAATGGTTGATTCTAAATTCTACCATGATGAATACAGGCAAGCATTTGATTCAAGGAATGGGGGCTGGCTTCATCCCAGCCGTTCTTGATCTCAAACTCGTTGATGAAGTCATTCAGGTGCATCAATATTCATTTGGTCAACATTAAAGTATAATATCTTAATCAGTTGAGTTATGCTTAAATTGACGAGTGACGATACTTTCTCTCGAAGTTTATAGATCAATATCGAAACCCTAATACGTTCAATGTAGAATAAACCAACACGCTCCCCGTCTTCCCTATTATACACGTACGGTTGTAAGTAGATAGGCGAGTTCGGACCTCTAAAACATCCTAAATGCAAATTTGGGTGTGTTCAGGTGAGAAGTGAGGAAGCCATTGAAACTGCAAAGCTCGTTACACTAAAAGAAGGCCTCCTAGTATGTTACTATACCTATGAGAACAACAATTTTGACGTATTTTAGTGAAAAAATAGAGCTTTCTTTTATGATTAGTGTTGTACGTAGGTGGGGATTTCATCAGGTGCAATAGCTGCTGCTGCAATAAAGGTTGCAAAGAGACCAGAAAATAAAGGAAAACTCATTGTTGTAAGCCATATTTTAGTTTCATTTCCAAATCAAACATCAAATGTTTGCAACAAAAGTTACATCTTTTTTACTCTGATCCATTTTAGGTCATCTTCCCGAGCTTGGGCGAGCGATATCTCTCGACAATGCTGTTTGATTCCGTTAGGCGCCAAGCGGAAAACATGTCGTATGCATGAGTTGACGTTGTTTTATGTAATCAAATGTTGGGTTTGGATGGACTGTTTGAATCAACTTTCGTTGATCAAAACTCATGGTTTGAATAATTATACAAAACTTGGTTTGGTTTGAAATAAAATGAAGCAAGACCCTTCTTAACACGATTCCTACTCGATTACTAATATTATGGATGAAATTTAGTCAGAGTACACATATTCGTTACAAGCGTTATTTGGGTGTTTCTGTTTGAGCCGTACGAAACGAAATTCTCATATACGATTCTCAAATAGGGGTCCCCATGGTTTTCCTATTTCAATGAAGTGTATGATTCGTTTGAAGAACGTCTTGAAATTCAGACGATTGCAATTGATATAACTAGCAAATACGTTCCTCCTCACGTCAACATATTTTATTGTCTAGGAGGAATTACGCTTATTTGTTTTTTAGTACAAGTAGCTACGGGGTTTGCTATGACTTTTTACTATTGTCCGAACGTTACTCAAGCTTTTGCTTCTGTTCAATATATAATGATGGAAGCTAATTTTGGTTGGTTAATCCGATCAGTTCATAAATGGTCGACAAGTATGATAGTTTTAATGATGATCTTGCACGTATTTTATGCGTATCTTACAAGTCCGAAAATTAGGGGCGAAACTAATTGGAAAAAGTCCCATGAGAAAAAATCAAGCATTGAAGCCTATATAGTAGTTATAGCTACGTTAGTGAGCAACTATGTTATTCTGTCTAGATTTTAACAACAGTATTTTTGCTGTCTATGTGAAAACTCACACACCATGATAAAACATGAGCACCGGCAAATAGCACAAGTCATGCATCCTCGGCCTCATCCTCAAGAAGGATGACTAGAAGAGGAAAATGTAGAGTATAAGAAAAGAATGAAACTTATCTTGAATTCTAGAACAACTTGATCGGATACCCGAAAAAGAAAAGGTAACCATGTTTAAAATTAGTTTGTTTTGAGTTCACTACATACACTAAATTATTATAAACAAAATTACAATAACTAAAATATTATATACTAATTTAGACTAAATCATAACTATGACAAAAGTATAGAGATCAAAAGCATTTTTTCAACTAAGATACAAATTTCTCCAAAAATAAAAAATAAAATAAAATTTTAGCGATCAAATAACACAACTACTCTTTATGACTAAATTTCGTCGACAAACGATTCCATTCCGGGAAGACCTCTCCATCCCTGCACAGAAACGGGACAATTCAAGAGTGAAGAAAGGTACATTTTTCGCCCCTAAAAAGTCGCATATTATACATGAAAACAGAACAATAACATCAATGAATTGGACTAAAAAGGGAAATCAGAAGAAAAATAACTACAAAATTTGGGGTTTTAGTCCCAATTCAATGATATAAGCTTGAAACACATAAATATTATAGTCTAAGTCAATGGAGACAATGGATAGCACTTAAAAAGGCATTGCAGAAAGCACTTCTATCCAAAACATCATCATAAAGATACACAAACTTTGTTTTTTATTCATCATAAAGAAACCACCACTTTCCTCTGCCTTCCCGATGGATCACTTTAATCATAACTAGGACCATCTCAAACATGGACATGTCATTTACATATTTCCTGCCAATCCAAAAATAACTCCACCCACAAAATCACCAATTTTATTTCTGGTTTAAAAGTCGATGATTCAACCCATCATATGCAAAACCGACAAAAACACCTATTTCATTTCTAGTTCAAAGGTCGATGATTCAATCTATAAACATATGCAAATATGCAACCAAAATCAGGGCCATTGAGGGTCTGGCATTATGAATCAGGAGTCCTTCAAATATGGAAGGTCATTGGAGTTCAAATCAGCAATACCCAATTCTAGAAATCAAAATTCTATCAACAAGTTTCATCTAGATATAGTATAAAAACTTCTCTAGACGCTTTCCAGAATCGTGATCGAGTGACTTTAAAAGTTAAAGCCACCGACTGTAAATAACAAAGCAAAGCATAACTGGAAAAGCCATAGGAAAGTTACCTTATAAAGATTAGAAATCTTCACTCCACATTTGTAATATTATTATATGAGGAAAAAAAACTATTTCTATTGTATTAAAAGACTACAGCATATATGAACACAAAATCAGAGAAACTGCTTTAAGAGTAACAGTTGAGAATTTTTGTTCTTGAGAAACATAGAACAGTTCTAAAAACGAGCCCCGTGAAATCTTCAAGCTGCATATTTCTTTAGTTTGCCACTAAGGATGGAAGAAAATGGTGGAAATCATAAAACCCTTAACAGGAGATGAAATTTAAACATCACCCAAAAGGGAATGGGTATGAAAATTCATTTTGATTTCAGAATCTTATGCTACTATCAGGGATCCACTCATTTCAGATCAACACAGAATGGAATATATATAATCTCAGAAATTTCAGCTACATTCATCAATGAAAACGAAGTGATCAACAAAACTATACTGGAGAATGATGATAATAATGCAAATGAAACAGTCAAAACTATGTTATCAATACATTGTAAATGAGTGGTTTTATTATAAATTATTTTTTACAATTATTGACCAAAGGGAGCCACTAAGTATACTATCAACCGCAGATCAAACATTTTCAAGAACAAAAAGGAGAAATAAAGAGAAAAGAGAAAGCTAAAAGCACTTACGAATCCCCCTTCTTCAAGCTCAGAGCTCCATAAATCAGCCTCCCATGGACCTCAAGTCTTCTAATGCCGTCTTAATTTGTTCCTGAACCAACTCCAACCTCTTGGAATAAACCTCCAGTTCCAAAATCTGCTGCTTCCTCCACCTCTCATCCGCCATATCTCCTCCACCTCCAAAATTGATTGAAGCTCCACCGAAGCTCAATGGAATAGGATGCAAAGCCAATCCACTGAACCCTCTACCTCCACAGAGCCCTCCTCCCATGGAAGTGCTCGATAATTCCTTAAACAAAGGCGACAGGCAGCTCCTCACCGTCTCCTCGATCAATCCTGCTACCGCTACGTTACTGACATTTTCGCTGTTGTTGTTGTTGTTGTTGTTGTTGTTGTTGATGTAGGTATTGTTTTTCTCTTTATTCAAATTTTCGTTGGACGAACGCGGCCCGTCCATTCTCAATCCCGATCCGGGCCGTGAACGCTTCCGGGATTTCGGAGTAGGCGTGGGTTTCTTCTCGGAGCAATTCAACGTCATCTCTTCGTTTTTAATGTCCATGTAGTTCGCATACGGAGGCGGAGCAGGCTCGTCATCGTCCAAAGCATTGTCTTCGACTCCAATTCGGCCTGTATTACTCCAGATCTTGCGAGAGATCTCAAACGTCGCCTGATCGTGAGGGCTTTTGAAATTGAACTCCTTACCAGAGCTAATCTTACCAATAACATTACGGTACTTCTTCTTCAACCTCCGAAGCTTCTCAACGAGCTGATTCTTGTTAAAATCCAACTGTAATTTCGACTTGATCTGGTCATAGAACAACGCCGTATCATTCTGATGATGGTGAGTGGTACCTCGCTGCATCGTGTAATCCAAAAACCCCTGCAACAGCTCGATCTCATCCTCATCGGTCCAGAGGCGTTGAAACAACTTCCGGCACTCATCCAAGGGCTTCTTCTCACCCGGCAAGACCAAAGGCTCAGCCGCAGCGGTCCCGATGCGCTGGCGGATCAGAACGGCAGAGGAGATGGAGACAATCGAAGGTGGAGGAACAATGGAGACCGGACGGACGGCAGTGCCGGGAGTGGCGATGGTAACGACAGGGGAAACGGAAGGAACAGCAACGGCGCCGGCAGAGGAGGTGGAAGGGGAAGGGCCGTCGTTCAATTCCTCCTCCTCTTCGTCGTCGTCATCGTCGTCAAGAGATTCTTCGTCGTCCTCGAGGTCTTCGTCGGGGAAAACGGCGTCGTTGCGAGGATCCATAGCGAGAGAGAGAGAGAGAGAGAGGAGAAGAGCGTCACAGTTATGGTGGCGGAAAAGGGAAAGGAAAAGGAGGGTGGTTGGGTTTTAGAGCGTTGGTTTGGTTTGGTTTGGTCGCGTGGGTTCGATGGACTTGAAGCCCCGCCGAACCCTCTAACCCTCACGCGCTTCTCTTGTGATTGCCTTTAAATTTACCTAACCCTTTTCAACTATCCAACGCATCAAACTTCTCCCTTTTGGTGGTTGACTACCATAAACAATAACTTAGCCCCCACTATATTTGCAAAAAAGACCCTCCCTTTATTTCATTTCTAAAAATGACCCTTCTATACTTTATAAATCTCTAACCCAACAACCATATTTGCAAAAATGACCCTTGTTTTTTTGGATTGGGTTAATTTCTAAATTTCTAGTACCACTAAATTTGCAAAAATGACCCTTGCTTTTTCGGGTTGGGTTAATCTACAAAACTCCATCTCTACTAAATCTTTGGATTGGATTAATTTACAAATTTATAACCCACTACATTTCCAAAAACACTATATTAACGGAAAATAATGACAATACATTTGAAATCAAATCGCTAAACTTTTTTTTTTTTTTAATTCTAAGAAAATTGAGTACATATTAGAGCTCATTTTCAGCGTGATAAGATGATTATTGAAGGGAATGAATTATTCGTTCTCACGTTGAAAACATCGAAATGTACATTAAATAAGAATCTTATTCGGGTAGAAATCGTTACCAACAAGTCTTGGTCCAACCACATGAAGAAGGAAGAAGCGTCCTCCACACGATCAGTAATTTTGAAATTTGAACTCAGTAAAACATTAAATTTATTAGAATATTTTACGAAATTCGAAAGAAAATGTTCGGATACATGTAATAAAATACAGAATTTATATAATAAAGTGAACCATTTCTTGAAGACGAAGATACAGAAACTGTGTTAATTGAAAGTTAAACGGAAAGCTACAACTGCATGATAGTTCCATGAATTTAGGATGATAAAGGATATATGAACAGTTGATAATTTATTTATTTTAACACAAAGGATGGATGGATGATGCAAATTCAGTACAATTGAAATTTTGCCTTTGTTTTCTCAAACACTTGCTCAGCAATAACAGCACCATTCCCATCTGCTTTCTTGATCTCCAGGTGAGCCTTCTGATAAAACCCAGTCCCCCTTATGGCATCAGCTATGAAATCATCGAACCCGATTGCTATTGCAGCTTCTGCTTTCGCTCCATACACCAATCTCTGTTTTTTTCCAGGTAAACGATAAGAAACTAGGAACACGAGCGCGATGATTAACGACTAATTCCAACCACAAACCTTAATTCTTGAAAGATGGATGGCACCGAAGCACATTGGACATGGCTCGCACGATGCATAGATCTCACAGTCTGAAAGTTCGATTTGGCCGAGTTTTTTGCAGGCCTATAGAAGAGGAGAGTCGTCATGAATTGCATTTAAGTCAACAGCTCACAAGGAGATATATTTGCGGATTGCAGTTCGAATATATAACGAATAACATATGTCAATGAGAAAAGTAGATCAAAGCTTTTGGAAAGGAAAACGGACACGAAAACAAAGGATATTGTGGCCTCAATAAGTTCTATGAGATCCCACCGATGAAGCTCGTTGGGCCCCATAGCGAGGTGGATTGCGAGATCTCACATTGGTTGGAGAAGAGAACAAAGCATTCCTTACCAAGGGTGTGGAAACCTCTCCCTAGCAGAAGCGTTTTAAAGATCTTGAGGAGAAGCCTAAAGAGGATAATATCTGCTAGTAGTAGACTTGAGCCGTTACAGTTCTATCGATTTTGGTACTCATATTATTCCAATAATCAGGACTAACCTTAACCAAACACATAATTTCATGATCAAATGACTTTCTCACTTTCAATGTCAAGATCAACCTTTTCTTTATGCAAAGTACTTCAAGAAAACTAAGAATGATTTATACCGACCTCCCGAACTGCAGTGACTTCAGCATGTGCTGTAGGATCAGTGTTTCTCAAGACCATGTTGTGACAGCTCACAACTACTTCATCGTTATGAACAACAACTGCTCCGAAAGGGCCTCCATCTCCACACTCTACTCCTTTGTAAGCCTCTTCAACTGCTTGAGTCAAGAACTTGTAGTCTCTATCTTGTACAGCTAATTTAAACATGAAAACATCAATGGAATATTGTTAAAGCTCGGACAATTTGTTCATTTCGGCTTCGAATTAAATGATGAACAAAACAAATGCTCATAGCAAAGCAATGAATAGATTGAACTGCAAGAGAATTCCTATAGACAAAATCTCTCCCTAAACAGAATTTTACTTTCAGACAGGATGATTTTGAACTGAAGATCTCTCAAGTGAAACATATTACAATGGCAACAAAATAGATTATACCAAATCCATAAGAAATCATAAACCCATGAAGAAAAGGGATCAAAATTCTAGAAGTTCACTGATCTAAAGGCCAGGGGAAGTTGTATCAATTTGGACCAATCATCCAAGACAGACAAGAACAAGAACAATATTGATAATTACATGTAGATATTAAGGGCCCTAAATGTAACAGAAAATTTAAATATGACAAAAGGATCCGTTCTCCCTTGAGTTTTGATGGGAAAAAGGCAAAAGGAAATATTAAATAAGAAATGTATAAATCAAAAACATGAAAACAAATTAATAAAAAATGGAAAGCGAGTTGTTATGTTAGTACCTTCTTGATGACAAGCAAATGCAGATGCTACGGAGATAGTTCCATCTATGGCTTCCACCACTGAAAATAAGGAACAAATACAAAATCAATAATACGACAGAATGAACCATGTTAATTGATCTTCCAGGCTAGAGAAAAGGAAAAATAAAACGAAAACATACAGATTTAGAATGAGATGAACAACAAAAATAAAACGTAGAAATACGCAAAATTAGAAAAGAGTTCATAGTTGACCCGGGTCTGGAAATTCCAAAAGCAGAATAACGAACAATTAGGAAGCATCATCAACCACGTCCCTAATAACGAGCTAAAAATTCCAAATCTCGAGTCGAAATTCATCCTAATTTCACAAATCAAGACGAAAAAAACAGTCCGATTTCAAACCTCGAGGATCAAACAACTCTCCCCGAAAACAAACCCAAATCATGCAAACATAGAAATACCCTCCCGATGCGGAATCAATGACATCATGCAAAATCAGGACAAAGAATCCAGAGAGATCGGAGAAGAAAACAAAAACAAAACAGAACAGGTCATTAGAATAAAGAATCATCCGATCCGAATTCAAATTGGGCGAAAAGGGAATGCGGGGAATGATCGGAAAGAAGGAGAAGGAGAAGGAGAATGAAGCGACTACCAGTAGAAGAATCAGCCATGATAAGGAAAGGGATTCAGGGATGGGGATGGGGATGGAGAGAGGAAGAAGTGCAGAAGAGAAGCAAGAAATGAAGGTGTATAAATAATGTTGGGAGAGAATGAATGGAGAGAAGTGGAAGAAGAAAGCAGCAGAAGAGAGAGAAAAAGAAAAGAAAATAAAATAAGTCGTCCAACGCGCCTCTCTTTGGGGCCATCTTCCATTTAACTTTTTTCCTCATCCAACTCAGATAATTCTTTTTTTTCTTTTCTTTCTTCAATTTAAAAAAAAACAAAAATATTCTTCGTCTCAAAAACATCCTTGAACTTTAAAAAAAAAATGTTTCAAAAATACCTTTTAATTTTCAAATTTTAATTAAAAATATCTTTACATAATCTTTAATAAGTAATTAGATGTAGTAGACAAACCGTTTATGTTTACATGTTGACATATAATCTCTTTTAATTTAAAAATTTATGGGCATTTTTTAAACCGGTATTATGTAATTTTTTGTTTTTAAAAAAATAAGTTCGAGTATTTTTATTATTATTAATTTACCAAATACCATTTTAGTCCCTATAATAAATATTAAAATTAATCTGTTTAAAGTTCATGTTTTATTCGTGATGGGTATAAAATTTTATATTTAAGGAAAATAAAAATAAGAAAAAACAAAATATAAGAATTTTAAAAAAGTAACTCACAAAATAGCCCATTTTCAAAAACAACAAATTGTTTGTTTCTTTTTTTAAATAAATTTATGAAAATAAATTATACACTCTTCACAAAACATGTTTTTCGCTAAACAACAAATTTAATCATTTATGGCTTTTTATTTTCTTTTTCTTTTTTTAATTTTTTTGTTATTGTGGAAAAAAATTCTTTTAGGATAAGATCATTTAGCCTGTATGATCTAGATGAGAAATCCCGATTTTAGTGACTAATAGAGAGAGAGAGAGTGAGAAGAGATTATTATTTTGAACTATATCCGATTTTAAAAAGTTTATAACCCAACCAAAATCGTACTGGTTGAATTAGGAGGATTGGATATTTGAGTCATTGAAAATCAAAACTGTAGACTTCAACTGTCATGTCCTAAACACTCTTTGTATGGGTGTGGAAACCTTGAAAACTCAAAGAGAACAATATGTGCTTGAGGGGAAACTCGAAAGGGAAAGCTGGACAATATCTGCTTGAGGGGAAGTCCGAAAGTGAAAGTTCAAAGAGGACAATATCTGCTTAAGGAGAAGCCCAAAAGTGAAAGCTCAAAGAGGATAATATCTATTTGAGGGGAAGCCTGAAAGAGAAACGATGAATCTGGGTCGTTACAAATGGTATCAGAGCCAGACACCAAATAATATACCAGCCTTCTTGCTCTTCCTTGAAGAGGGGTAGACACGAGGCGGTGTGCCAGTAAGGACGCTAGGCTCCGAAGGGGGTGGATTGTGATGTTCCACATTTGTTGGGGAGATGAACAAAACACCTTTTATAAGGGTGTGGAAAATTTCCCCGAGCATACGCTTTTAAAGCCGCGTTGAGGGGCCGCTTTGAGAGGAAGTCCGAAAGGAAAAACCCAAAGAACTATAATTTTTAAACACCTCCGATGATTTGTTTAAACTATAATTTTTTAAAACTTTTTTTTTATTTTTATTAATTTTATTTAACATTACATCACCAATAATACAAAATATGTGTTAAATTCGAGAAATTAACTTGGAAGTAATGACTAGATTTGAAAGGGAACTACATTTATAATGTAATTATTGACCTTAATATAATATTAATGTTTTATTTTTTAAGCAATATTTTTTATCAACATGTTTTAAAATATATATATATATATATATTATTTAACACTACATAACAAATAAGACAAAATTAATGGGTTAAATCGGAGAAATTATTTAAAGAAATGAGTATATTTGAAAGGAACTTCTTTATTATTATTATTATTATTTTACATCTATTTATACCAATATTTAAAAAGGAATTTTCTTTTACGAGTGATCTAAGATTTCCACGCGATATATCGATTTGTCGTATTATAGGATATATCGATACCTCGAGATGTTTGAGTATCTTAAAATGCTCATATGGTAGAATGACGGGCGTTCAAATCTTTCTAAATGATTAATGCTAAATATTCATCAATAATTTTTTTCTACAGCCACGACCACATCACCACTTTGTTCTCATTCAAATGCTTCTTAGAAGAATTTTTACGACATCACTCAACATATGATTACTTCAAACCAAACATGCTTAAATTGAAGTTCCTATGATTGAGTTATCGAAAAAATAACGTACACTTTGTTGGTATAGATAGTTAAATATCAATTCAAGTATTTCTAAACTGTCATATCTACAAAATTACAGACCACTTTTTTTTTTCTTTTTTTTTTTTACTTGAGTGGATCCATAGTTCAAATTGTTGGACTTTCAATCCCACTTATGTTTCTCATTCTTAACATGGTATAAAGTCATGCCTTAAATTTAGTCATGTCAATAGAATCCTTAGATATTGAACAAAAGTATTGTGAGCCTCTAACGCATAGTAAAAAATGACTAAGACTCCACAAGGAAACGGAATCAAGCCTCGATTAAGGGGAGACGTGCTTTGTTCGAAGGGAGGTGTTGGATAAAAGTCCCACATCGACTAGTTTAGGGAATAATCATGGGTTTATAATCAAGGAATACTATCCTCATTAGTGTTAAACCTTTAAGGGAAGCCCAAAGCAAAGCTATGAAAGGTTATGCTCAAAGTCGATGGTAACATACTATTGTGGAGAGACACAAATATGTCAACTCGCGAACCGACTCACTCAAATTTTGAGTTCGAAAAATTTAACTCAACCCCAATCTTCGATTTGGTTGGGTACTCGGGTCATACTGAGGAAGATTCGATTCTTATAGTAATCATTGTTTCAAAATCCTACTCTTCTTGGATTTGGTTGGGTACTCGGGTTACTCTTCTTGGATTTGGTTGGGTACTCGGGTTACTCTTCTTGGATTTGGTTGGGTACTCGGGTCATACTGAAGAAGATTCGATTCTTATAGTAATCATTGTTTCAAAATCCTACTCTTCTTGGATTTGGTTGGGTACTCGGGTTACTCTTCTTGGATTTGGTTGGGTACTCGGGTCATACTGAGGAAGATTCGATTCTTATAGTAATCATTGTTTCAAAATCCTACTCTTCAATGTTTGAATTGGACGTCATTTATTTGAAGAGATTAAGTTAAGTGTTTTGTAACTGCTCGTTACTTTATAGCAATTATTGTTTCAAAATCCACGATACATATTACATTAATAACTAAAATCTCATAAATCTCAAATATCCGACATTTACAAGTCACACTTCATCACTAACATCGATTACAAACGTCAAATATTCTTAATTTTCGTAATAATCTTAAAAGCCAGCTTGAGTTGTAACCCTATTTTCAAGTTTGTTGAGTTAATGTCAACCACAAACCAATCCAAATTTTTTCGATCTTAAAACAAAATTAACTCAACCCAATCTTGAGTTTGGTTAGGTATTTGGGTCATGCTTTGGAAGATTCAATTCCCGTAGCAATCATTGTTTCAAAATCCTTCTCCTCTTCAATGTCTGGATTTATATTCTGGCACGAGATCAAGCTAAGTACTCAATAATTGCTCGATATTTTAGAGATCGAAATAGAATTCAAAAAAATTTAGAGATGGACACTAAAAACTTTATCATCCCACGTACGTACTATCGTGTTTATGAATAGATAGATTCGATATGTCCCTTTCACATCCATTATATGGTTTTGGGGGGAAATGGATGAACAATATGGATAAGTTGTGGTATGAGGTTTTAGATTCATAGGATATTCGATATGATTCAAAGTGGGTGAGTTGTTGATGAGTCATCAATCGTGTCAACTTTGTCGTTCTTCCACATTACCCCAACGTTTCGCTGCATAATATTAAATAGAAAAGGACCTGTTGATGTCGATGTGTTCTTCACGTAAGCTTCCTTCCAACAACACATTAAACAAACCAAAAAAAAAACCAACCCTATTTCAATTATCAATGCCTTTTAGCTTCCAACAAGATATGGATCCTCGTCATCTTCAATCATAACTTATCTATTCGTATAAATTTTTCGTACCCATTTGAATGATTCATATGTATATCGATTGGATTGAATAGGGTTCACAACTTACTTAATCTAATTCTGTATCTTTGAGTTGGATCGAGTTGGGTCGAGTTGGATCGTCAAATTGTTTGTTTTTGTTTTTGTTTTAGTTATATAATATTGTGGGATCTCACATCGGTTGGAGAGGGAAAGGAGTGTTAGCAAAGATACTCGGTTTTGAAGGGGGTGATTATGAGATTTCATATTGATTGGAGAGGAAAACGAGTTTCAGCGAGGACGTTGGGTCCTGAAAGATGGTGGATTGTGTGATTATTCGTCGGTTGGAGAGGGTAACGAAACATTTTTTTTATAAAGGTGTGGAAACCCTCCCTACCATAAGCGTTTAAAACCGACAAGCCTGAAACAGAAAACTCAAAGAAGACAATATTGTGTTTGGGTTATTACAAAAATTTTAAATATCAAACATTTGCATCATTGTTATGTGTTACAAATGTCAATTATTCTAAATTTCAGTAACAAATTTATAAGTAGGGTAGATTTGAGTTGGGTTGTGAAAAGTATTTTCGAGTTCGTCCCATTAACCTAATAAAAAAAGTTGCAGTCGGTGCATTTTTTAATTTTTCAAAAATTCAATTCAACCCAAAATAGAAAGAAAAAAGAAAACCTCAACGGGTATAATTTGGATTGAAGTAGTGTAAGTTGCTCGAGTCATAAGTGAAAATTAAAAATTATTTTATTTTATAAACTATAATATTATTGGATTATGTCACTAACGTGGGTGTGTCTTACCTCATCCATTATCATAATATTTTATATAATGTATATATTAGAACATGGATTTTTATATATTTTCTTGAGAAACTTTGGCTTTGTTGGAGTCCATATAATATTAATGCATCTTTGTTCATCTTACTTATCAGTTGCAGTTTATGGTACAATTTGATAAAATTGATATAACATACCAAGTTTAGAGGAATAATTTCCTCAAATTTAAAAAGAATATTACCAATTATAAATTTTTTAAAAATGTTTGTAAGAAAATAATTAAAATTTATGTGAAAACATATGAATGAGGTGTTAATTTTTTTTTTAAAGTAGATTACAAAATGTTTGCTAATTAAAATAATTAATATTTCACATGATTAATAGAAATTAATTAATTTTTTTTTGGATACTGAAAATAAGTTATGAACTCAGCATTCGTTAATTACGAACAAGTTTAATATGTTAATGAACAAACCTTGTTCTAAAAGTCAATTTTAAATGATGTTTGTTTCTAATAATTATATCAATGAAATTACATAAAGAAAAAGCAGTCATTTAAAAGATCAGCATGCTTATAATAATTAAATCAATCAACAAATATTGCCCTACATTAAAATTAAGTTGAATAATGAATTTTGTCCAAAGAGTCTCCCTAAGAGCTCACTAAAAATATTAATTTAGTTAATTTTTTTTAAGTAATCAAATTAAAGTCTAATATATTAAATATAAAGAGCAGACAATATATTAAATTTAAATTATTCAAATTAAAAAATTCTACTAAACTTCAAAACAGTATATTCAAATTTTTATTTTAAATTATGAAAATACAAAATTATATTAAAAAAAAACAAAACTTTAGTAGATATAATATCTCATTTTATAAACTCAATTTATTTTATTTAAACTAAATATGAACAACATAATATATTATAAATTATACAACACTATTAAATAATTATTATACAAAATATAGAACATGAAACATAGTTCATAAATTAATAAATAATACAAAAAAAAAATGTAACTATAAAGTTGGGTTCAAACCATTAAAATTGTTTTCCGATCAAATTACTC